AAGCTAAAAGCCAGATTACTTGCGATGAAGGTGTCAAACTCTGCTCCCTATTCAATGACATCACACTTTAAGCCAATAATGTCAAGGAAGAATCCATCATTTCCACACTGTGGCTTTTTTAAGTGGGGAAAAAAAATCCAGAAAAGAAAAGGAAATAGGTTGCCAGAAGACCTGAATGATGAAGTCAAACAAGGAACAATGGGCATTTTTACACATGCAGCGCCACAGCACTGGGTGCTTTGAAAAGTGCCCGGTGCTGCATCGCTTACAATTGTGTAAGTGGCAAAATGCACGTCAGTGCTGAAAAAATGGTGGTGGTGCACTTTTGAAATAGATTTGAACTAGAATAGAATGCATTTTAGTTCAGAATAGAAGGTTTTTGGAACACGTAGGTGTTTTATTTCAAAAGCACACCACCACCATTTTCTGCACACTGACGTGTATTTCGCTACTTAGACAACTGCAAGCAACGCAGTGCTGTGTGTCAGCTTGTGTGCAGATCTCCAGCGCTTCCGGGCATGAAAATGTATGTGTATAAATGCCCAATATGTTTAGTTACTATTGCTCTTTCAGCACTACTGGAAAGACCCAACAACAACAGCAAGGTGAGCACAGTTCTGAACACTGCCCCAGGCCTAGATTTGTCAAAATACTTTAAACATAGGGGGTCTGGGGATGGCAGAGGAAAAACAAGATATCTCCTGGAATCAATAATCTTAGAAATCCAGAAAAGTAGCGACACTGAAACTGACTGGCCAGAGGCATGTACTCTTGACCCTAAAAATGTATTTGGGCAGATGAAGTTATCAGATATCAAAAATGAAACATTCTTTTACCCTCAATACAGTTCACTACAGAGAAAAATCATCTGTTCTTTATAAACAGGTTCTTCTCTATTTTCATTTTTTCCTGGTTTATACAATATACCAGTCTCAGCTCCATATGTTATAATTTCAAGTGAAGATGAACTGAGACTACTGCATCAGTATGGATTCCCCTGACCTAAGCTGTGAATTGTGATGGACTATTTGTTACTTGCTAGTATGATCTTTGGGGTGTTTCACATATCTCAGAAAATTTCTGTACCAACAGCTGTTTTTACAGAGGCTCTCTTATCTCATCTCTCTTGGTACTGATAAAGTAAGAACAGAGCACCAGCAAGAGCGGACATACAATCCCACCTCAGTCTTAGCTCAACACTAACAAAGAACTGTAGCAATAGGTATAAGTTTTGAGGGAATACATTAAAAATAGCCAACCAGTATTTTGGGAGATGACTCCTGAACCATAACCTTGAGCCACAGGCCCAGATGAATAGTTATTTCAAAAAGGTACATTAGGCAAGGAAAAGCAGGATGTTTTTCTTTTATCAAAAATCAGACTCATTTTACAATAGAGGCAAGCTTTCATAGGCAGTTTTGTGATCAAAGTCCATTCCCCTTGAAGCATGAAAGTCCAGGGCTGATTAGAGGCAGGCTTCCAGATTGACAAACAGATGCAAAACAACTGCAGAAGGAACTTGCTTTCTGTACCTAGTAGCTGTTGCTAGGACTGGACCCATAGCCATATTTATTCTTCCTCAGGAAAAAGAAACCAGACTATTCTCTCTAATACTATCTGCCCCCTTCCTTCGTTACTTTATTCTCATGCAAATATTTCACACCTCTTGTCTACATGCAAAACTGAAAAACTCAATATGAGTCTTTACATTACAAATATACATTAAATAGGTAAATCATCTCATTTTCCATCTAAAAAGCCTTTGTTGTTGATTAAACTATTTTAAGTGAAAATGGCCTACCTTTTAGCAGAAGGAAAGATCTGAGGCAGCAAAACAAATTACTTTGCAAACAAGACTAGCATTTGCCCTGAAAAATCTGCAATTCTACATTTTTTCTACATACAGGGAATCCCACCAAATACCAAAACCCATGAAATTATCTGAAATGATAAAAAATGTGGATATAGTATCTGGGGGCAAATGTGTCCCTGGCTTTATGAGCAACAGTCATCTCTGCATTACTGTTAGCTGCTGCCCATGTAAAAATGATATTCTGGCCTGTGTTCTTCAACTGATAGTTACAGGAACAGCTGGAGATGCATTTGGCATTCCCTTTACTGAACCTGCAGGATGCTTCCCAGAACCGCAGACTCGAATCCAAAACAAGCGAAAGGAAGCAATCAGGCTGTGAGACAGATGAAGGTGCAGCAAGCAGAATCTGAAAGAGGTACAAGAACCTCAAATGCCAAAAGCATTTAGGTCCCCCACATTTCCACATACCCCCTGCATCACATGCTAGCAGTGCCATATCTCAGTGCCTAAATGAAAAGCGATTGAACTAAGCTGCAGCTAAGCGTGAGGAGAGAGGCAGAATTAGTTTCAGCAACTGGCCAAAAACTATGATCACCGTTTCAAGTAAGGCAGCCTGCTCAACGATCATCAAGACAGTATGCAGTTACTGGGACCACACTGTCCTCCTGGATTCATTCAATGCTACTAAACAGATTGAGGCAACTGCTAAGAACACTTTTCCCTATGCTCACTTCCATTTATGTCTGTACAGGAGGCAACACTGCATGGTAGATGCGTGTCATGGCTCTACAATACTTCAATACCATGGCAATGAGCTTATTATAAATGGCTAGACTGACATGCTTGATTTGACAAAAAAGCCAAACATATTCCATTGTAAAGGGCCAATTTAACTCAACCCTCTTGGACTGAGTTCTGGACCAAAAAAAAAGAAAGATGAGAGGCCCTACACCCCTTTTAATCTCTCAGCACTGAGCCTTGGTAAAAAAAAAATATATATTGTAAATAATGCAGTTAGGAGCAACATAATGAAAGCATCCTCCAAAAAGTGCATTTGTTAAAAGCCTCTGGCTACATATCAAGAGCCTTAAAAAACCCGTCTAGGATTTAATGGCTTTCTGCTGTTTTTCTCTACTTCGTTGATCTATAAAGAGAAATCAGTCTGAAGAGTAAAGCACCGTAGGTTCGGTCCATTACTGAGGTGGAAATACTAATCAATTCTTCTCTCTGGAATAGCTTGGTAAGACATAAGCCTCTCCTCAACCCCCACCAACACTCCCTGGTGTTCTGAACCAAAGCATCTCTTGGTAACTTGGTTATTTCCTGTTCTCATCCCCACTCTGCCTTAAGGTTTAACAAAGCAAGGGGCCTATTGGGTACATAAATACCAAGGCTGCCAAGAGACTGTGTGTAACAATTCATGGGACGTTCTTGTGCTTTAATGGGCCCAGGAGCTCAGGAGGAAATTGGTATGGGGTTTGTGTTTGCATCTACTCTAACAGTCTGTGTGGGCAAAGCTCCCTCTCAATGCAGTCCTCTACTGAACGTTTCCTCCCCAGCCAAACTGTCAGGGGCAGGAAATGAACCGGCACATACAGATCATGAGCCATATGCGATTCCACTCTTCAGCTGTGGGATGAGGAGAGATGAAGGGTGGAGTGCGCATGGAGCTGATGAAAACAAACAGAAAAAAGAAGACAGAGCGGCAGAGAACTGAAGGTGAATGGATTCAGAGTGAGGTTAAAAAAAAGTACAGGAGAGAGTTATTAGGGTGCCTAAGGGAAGCTTTAAAGTCATAAGCTGGGGCCTTGTGTGCGGTAACAAGAGGGAGAGTAAGATTTCCTCATGTACCCAGATCCTCTGAAAAGCAGCATCAAAACCTGATCCAAAGCCCACTGAAGTCAACAGGAACTTCCCCACTGACTTCAAACACTAGAAGTATACCGATGTATCGGTCTATATTGGATCAACACTGATAAAAGGAAAATTAACATTAGTTTTGGCCAGTGTAGCTGATAACATCATCGATAAATGCCAAGTGCATGTGCACCGCCACAGCACACACGTGACCAGGAATGCAGCCCAGCAGCTTGGAGAACAGCACTGGCCCAGTAAGTCTGTGGGGGAAAGGGGGCGGGGGGCGCAGATCGAGACCCCCATGGTAAGGGAGGGAGAAGAGTAGGAGCAGGGGCAGGTGCTGCCCAGCTAGGGCAGTGAATGTGACCCCGGGAGCAGAATGAAGCTGTGGGCAGCTTGTCCATGGAGTATGGGGGGGAGTGGAGCAGCTCCCCACTGCTGCACACACCCGCAGGAGAAGCATGGGGGGCATATGAACTCCCAGATTCGTGCGCATGGCAAGAGCAAGCTGCCTGCTGCGGGCTTGGAGCCAGGGGCTGTGCCCACCTCTGCCTGGTGAAGGAGGCTGGGGCTGTGCTTGGGCAGGCAAGGGTGGGGCAGGCAGCTGCAGTGCTGAGAGAGGTGGCTACAGGGTGGGCTACACCCATCTCCCCCCTGCCCCCCCATGCATCTCTTCCCCTCACAGACTTTCATAGACATTAAGGCTGGAAAGGACCTCAGAAGATCATCGAGTCCAGCCCCCTGCCCCAGGGACTTATCAGCAGGAGGCTGCTCTCCAAGCTGCTGGGCTACATTCCTGTCAATCAGCTATCGGATCAGTATCAGCCAGTATGGCTGGTTAATAATCAGCCATCAGCCAAGAAAATCTTTATCAGTGCACCCCTATCAAACACCTTTTGAAATCTGGAACCAACAGCAGATACGTGATGTATGGCTTTTCAGCCTCAATTCAACAAGGTACTGGAGCACATACTGCTCAGTAGGGTTACTCCCATGTTTGAGGGCCTAAAAAGCAGCTATTTTAACTGTAAAACAATATCAGAGTAAAGGACCCTATTCTGTTCTGCAGGAGTAATACAAAAGAGACTGAAAAACAGAAGTGAAGTACACAGAGTAGATGTGACCTGACTCTGGATCGACCCTTCATGCACAGTTATGAGTTAGGTTTATACTGACAAACATAATACTCTTTTTGTCTAAAACGAGGACATTTCTTCAGCCCTCCCCCAGTGCTTGTCTAGGACCAATTTTAGGACACTGCTCACAAGGACACCGTAGGCAAAACCTGTAAAACCCAGTGGGCAGAAGTGATGGCGCTAAAAAGGCTTACGAGCTACAGAGAAGTTGTTTAAAGGGGACTCCCGTTGGTCAACATCCTGCGGTCTCTCTTTGTAGCCAATGAAAGTGCCATCGTTCTTCAGCAGAAAATACCTCGGCCTCCATGTCTTTATGTATTCTCCTATAAAAAAAAAAAAAAAAAAATCACAGACCAGAAGAGGAAAATCAGAAAACATTCCATGCACTGTTATCCATGAACGTCAGTGGAACCTCTTTAAAACAATTATACTGCACATATTTTTTAATACAGCAAGGTTTTTAACGGTCAGTTTGTCCTGGTATAAACAATGGAAAAATACAGGGAGCGATTCAGATAGTGACAGTGATATTAACCAAAAAATGGGATTTCATAAAAGGTAAAGAGCTGTATTTTATTCCAGCTACTTCTGTTTCCATGCAAACTCTGCAACATCTGTTTTAAATGCATTTTAAAATTTAAAAATCACAGCAGATGTCCTATGTATTATTTTTGCTATTGTCATTTTTCATACTGACAAGTGGAGAAATTTTTTTCATTTACATTTTGCAGCGCAAGTATTTTAAACAACAATGGGTAATTTACTAATTAGTCAACTGCTTTATCAAACCAACAGTCACTTTTAAAGCATAAAAAGATCATTCTCTGCTTAAGTTACATAATACTACTCCTTTCAAACCATCCAGAAATGTGTAGGATAAGAGGCTACCGCATAATATGAAAAATAAAATCTCACGGTGTAATAGGAACATGAAAGGTCTTACAAAGAACTTGTCCTCTCTTCCTAGAGGTAAAGCATTTCTAACCCCAGGCTGCCGCTCATAAGCAATGTTATAAAGAGAACCTCTGGTTGTGCATAAATAGCACGGTCACATTCAAACATATGGTGGCAGAATGAACAGTGACTTCACAGACCAAATACCTAGTCAGTCATGGGAAGGGCGCATTGTCTACCTATTGACTTTGGTCAAGTTGTTTCTCATTTGGCCTCACTGTGCCTATTTAAGCACACTCACCCTGCATCTGGGCAGCATGTACAACACTTTTGCATGACCTTGGGCCTCTGTGCTTTCATGACGTATTTGCAATTTTTACTGCGTCCCACCTAAAGGCCTTTGGTCACAGTCTCCTACAAACATGTGGCCTCAACATCATGGAGCTTTGTCCATGGATTGGAGTTTGCTAACTAGCATAAAGACTTATCTACTGAAATGAGCTAACCAATAATTGCCTTGGGGTCAGCAAATTTCTCCTCAGTTTATTATTAATTGCCCATGGTGGTAGATGGGCTTTAGACCCCTCCCTGACATGCTTGATGCTGGCCACCAGAGACAGGATACCAGATAGCAGAACAGACAGGAGTTTCCAGGGTGGCAGATGCATTTAATTCAGCCTCATTTTAAGGCCTAAGAAATTATCATACAAGGGCATGATGCTCACTGTTGACTTGTTTGAAGGGCTAACCACCAAACTGAACAATAGACAAAAAAAAGAAAATACAAGGCACCACAGATTTACTAGCCACAGCTCCTTTCTGCTATTCTTCTCCCTTCCTTCCTCCCTGGCCACCCAATAGAGCCTCTTCTGCTGTTTTCTGTTTTCCACCAGAGGTAATTTCTCCCATGATGCTGCACACCCTGCCCCAGGAACTCCCCTACAGCTGCTTTGCCTGCCTCCCTCTCCCCACAGACCTCCCTTCCTTCTGTGATGCAGCCTCTTGCTGCTTCACACAGCAGCTGCAGTGCTTCTTCCCTCTGTTCAACCTCATACCTGTTCTGTGGTGCTCACCTGCACACCTGGCAGTTGCTTTCCCTGTGTAGCCACAACAGCATTTAGACTTTTTATCCTAAAGCAAAAAAAGCTGCTAAGGGCAAGTAAAGAGGAGGGAAGGCAGCATGCCCAAGGGTAAGTATGGAGGATATTCTCTAAATTTGGCACATCTGCCAAGATCTTCTATTAGCATCGATACAAGTGACAGCACAGAAGAGATACACAAGTTACAGCATGCATCTATGTACAAGTCAGCATGCCCCACCAGCAGGTTAAATCAGTGATTCTCAGTGCCACAACACCTTTGAGAGTAACACCAGGTGGTGCTCAGTATTATTCCTATTAGGTGTACAAACACCTAGGAATGATTCACAAGATAAGCCCAGAGATTTCAAACAGGAATTCATAGCGTCTCATACATTCTGACCTGTTGTGGTCTTTCTGAGTCTTTGAAACAGAAGAATTGCTCTGTTGTTTTTCCATAGTCTAAAAAACAAAGTGAAAGTTAAGGGCTGGCATTTTCCAAGGGGTGCCTTAAGTCTAAAAAAAAAAAGGTTGAAAACCACTGGGTTAACTGCCATGGTAACCTATAGAGATTAACAAAGTGTCATAATTACCATAGAAATGTCTGAGGAACGGACCCATGATTGTCATGACTTAACATTTATATTTCAAGGTGCTTAATTCTTAATGTGAAACAAATGCTGGCAACTCTTGGGACTACACAGAGGCCTTTGGAGCCTTCCACTTCTAAGTACTAGGTCCAAATCCAGTGCCTTTTTGCAACAGCCATCTCTATCAGACCATGCCCCTAACTACCATGGTCAGATACAAACTCGTGGTCACAGCTGAGTTCTCACTGTACAGGACTACACAAGACATGAGCAGAGATGCTCATCCCAGCTGCCAGCACTGTCACTAGCCCCTTGGCCCACACCAAAAACCTCTTTCTTTTATATCAAGTGAACTTGGTCACAAGAAACCTACATCAGAATACCCCATAGCCATTTACAAGAGGGCAGACATTTCACCTTATTCCACAACTGAAACTGCATCATCACCTCCTCCCAGTATTGGTCTTAACAGACATGAAGCTGGAAGCAGATGTTCCAGATGCTGACGATTAAAACCATAACTTGAACTTAGATAAAAAATTTAGGCTTATGATCATGAATGGTGTTTCCTGAGATTGGGGGGGGCACCATTTGTAGTCAGCAGCAAGCAGCGACTGCCTGCAGATGCCAGTGTCGGCAGTGGCGAGTGGGGACCACCCACAGATGCCAATGGCTGGGGGGGGGACAGGGGGGACAGGTGGCAAGTTGCGACTGCCCGCAGAAGCCAACGGCAGCTTCTCTCGGGGTGGGGAGTGAACACGGCATGGACGTGCCCCCCTCCCCTCCCCCCATGTCCTCTCTACTCATCGCCTATGATTATGATACCTTGATAAGTATCACTTTAGCTACAGCTGTAACACAATTTAATGCACAAGGTGCCAGGTTTTCCTCAAAGCCCAGTGACTTCAGTGTCTTCAGCTCCTGCAATCCACCAGGCCTGAACCAACATTTTCAGTCAAAATTTTAATAGCTGCTTTCCTCTGCTCCTACTGTAAGAGCTTGGGGGCAACAGCAAAATCTGTTCTGGGGAAGGGGTGGCCAGGAGCAGACCCAAGAATGAACTCAGGCAAAAGACTTGTCCCTGCTTCTTCCCTTTGATCTGGAGAGTAAATTCATGGAGGAAATTGCTCGCTGCTGCAGACCAGCAAGGGTAGAGCCATGGATCCTCCAACTCAATCCCCTCACCGACTTGCTTTCAGAGAAGTTCAGATTGGGTAGGTGGAAGCTTCTGCCCCTCCAACTATGCAGCCAGTCAGAATATGCAATGGATCAAGCCAGCGGAGTTTCATTCACCCTTTCTCCTTTGTACCAGACAAGTAAGGGCTAGCATAATCTGTCCTAATGCCTTTCTGGTCAACATTATCAAAGGAAAGTTTTTATTGAAAATGAAATTCTTTGCAGGGGGAGGGGAGGGGAGGGAAAGGGATCGTGAAATCCCATTCCTAATTCACAATATTGAGTTGTTGCAGACACTCTTCTCTTTTCCATTTTACTTTTTATTCAGTGTTTAAATGCAATCATTTTCCAATAGCATTCTTGCACAGATCTGTTCCAGTTGGAAATATATCTTGTAGTAAAATTAATCACCACCTTCAAATTGGAGTACTGCATGTGCATAGCATTCTCCTTAGTACTTTCCCTTTCTTCTTCAGCCCATTCACGCTTCCTCCTTGAGGAATTAATTATTTCATAAACATCAGACATATTCTTCCTGACAATGGGATCACTCAACATTTGGACCATCACATATTAATCACCACTGCAGCTAGTTCTCTTTCCTAAAGCTAATTTCTAAATCGTAAACAATTCTATTGTAAACATTTCTATTTTTTATTATAATTTTTTGTTCTGTCTGCCACTTAATAAATATTGCAACAGTTTTGTGTGTGCCAAGGACTACTATGAATCAATAAATAATACCTACGCTCTGTGCAGAAACATCGTATCTTGATGACCTGCAGCATTATGAAGCACGCAGCAGGAACTATAGAATGAGTGTCATTGCATAACATGCTCTAAAGTGACAGGAACTAGAAATGTAACAAACTGGCATGAAATTTACTTATCTGTGGTTGCACGAGACAGCGATCAGAGAGGCATGAATATACAGTATACTGAAATGATAAATTAAGCAAAGACGACTGCATCTACAGCAGCACTGAAGCACAGGTTTGCAAATGAAATCAGCAGGAAAAAGTGTGTGGTATTTCTGTTGTTATAACGCAAATTTGCGTTTCTGAGACTGGCAAGAGTAACAGCTAAATTTTACACGCTCGTTTTAACTATGGCAGTTGCCAAATCTTACCTTCCTTTCAAAATTATTCTTAAAAATAAAATTATTTAGATGAGTTATTACATATAGGATATGGGACTCTAAATGCACCGTAAAGCAACAAATTCCAAAACTAGGTTATATATACTCACACACATATACTATGCATTGATTAGAAGACAAGTCACAACTGGGTATGTGAATACTTGAGACAGAACTCAAACATTTTGTTTAAACAGGCAAAATAGAGTAGTATTAGACTGCTTGCACAAAGTTGGTTAAAAAAAAAATCCCAAGCCTTTTCTTCCTACTGTGTTAGGAGAGTTGGAAAGTGGCATATTTGAAGTATGAGCTGCATTGTTTTGATTTTTGTCCCAATTTTTTTTTAGCTTCTGTTATAATTGTCCTATCTGAAGTCGTTTATATTAGTTAGGCTGTTTCTTATAAAACAGTCTAAATACAGGCACAATTAAAAATGTGAGAGAGAA